AGACAAGGCTGCGGTATCCAAGAGTCAAGCAAGGGCCTGACAAGTCTATCCTATCGTAAGGCGAGGTCCAGCCCCAGATTAGCGACAGACTTGCCAGTAGTGATAACAATATAATTATATAAAAAAAAAAAACAGGAAAAAAAAACAAAAAAAACCTTCGATTAAAACCCAATAAAAATTGAAACACAGTACATATAATAAAAATCTAAGTATAAATATATTTAAACATTTATAACAATTCATAATAAGGTAATACAAATATATATATTTACTTATGCCTATCAATATAGTACTGTATATTCTATTAAGTAATTAGATATCAATTAAATTATATAATCATGAAATTAAATAATTATAAAATTATAGAAAAAGATGAAAAAAATGAAAAAACCAAACCTCTGAAGAAAAAAACCAAATCCCTAAAAAAAAACAAAAAAACTAAATTACGAAAAAAAAAAATCAAAACCACCGAAATTCACAAAAAAGCTTAAAATTAAGCTCTATATTTTAATCTCCTTTATATCCCCTCATATGGACTTTGTCTTCTCAGATTTTATAATAACAGACAATCGCGCTTTAGTATTATAGCGACCCAGACGAACCACGACGACCCAAAGGTTTTCGTCGATCACTAGAAATAAACGGATCCACCTTTCTTTGTACCATTTCGGACGCAATCTCAATTCTGATTAGCCACATTGTGATTGGCTTCGGCAATAATCGTTATTTCCATTTAAAATCATCCGGTTCGATTTTCCTTTTACATTCTTATAATATTGATGCGATGAAGGTACGATGTAGCCGCGATGTAGACATGATGAACTTTGTTTAATATATATTTTATGGAAAATAAGTGTAACTCAATTAAGTGAATAGCAGAGTTAATGACTGAGTTTTTTTAGTTGTGATGTGGACTGACGATTAACTGCCTTGTCAAATATTGCGAATTTAAAAATGCATTTACAATAAATAACAAGTGTCATAATAGAAAATTGGTTACCTATACCAGTTTCAGATAAATTTGTATCTAATCTTGGACGTGTCAAGAATAAGAGAGGTATGATTTTAAATCGAAATCCAAATAAAAGGAACAGTTATATACAAATAAGTTTAAAGATTAAATACAAACCAGTATTCATAATTTAATTACGCGAACATTCGTTCCTAATGTTAATCATAAAAATGATATTAGACATGATAACCGAGCCGATAATTTGGAATGGGCAACTCCTATAGAAAACGGCATTTCCGAATCGTGGTCACGGTACTTCTAGGCGAGTTGTACAAAATACATTGAATGGAAAGGTTGTTCAGATTTGGGATTCTATTCGCCTCGCAGATAATACACAAAAGATTTTGGAAACCAATATTTCGTCATGTTGTGATGGAAAGCGAAAAACTACTGGTGGCTGGTGTTGGACGTATTACGAAGATTATACACAACTCGATCCCAGTGAAGAATGGAGAGATATCGAATATCAATCTCAAAAGTTCAAAGTTTCATCATTAGGTAGGATTTGGCCAAAGAATGGTAATATTACTCAAGGATCGTTATGTAGTCGATTTCTTATAATTGGTAACAAAAATCGCCTTTATTCCGTTTATCGACTTGTCGTCTTAGCATTTTTTCACAAGAAGAAAGCAAAGAATATATAAATAATATTGATGGAAATACTACTAACAACAAAGCATCTAACCTTGAATGGGGCATGTTGAAAGAGAAGTCTATACATGCTGTACAACTTGGGCTTTGTAACAACAAGCATTGTCGACGTGTCGTCAAGCAGATTTTCGATGATGGATCTTTCCAAGAATTTCAATCATTAACTGAAGCACAACACATAACTAAAATTAATCACATTGAATATGTATGTCAAGGAATTCAAAAAAGCGCCGGAAGGTATCGTTGAAAATACGTGAATGCTAATTATACATGATAGATTTAATTACGTATTACTAACAGTAAAAAGAACTAAATTTGTTTATTTTACATAATTACCTTTTTAAGTATTTCTAGAGTTGTGTTCCGAGTATTTTAGTACAGTATACTGTAGATAAGATTAACCAATAGGGAGATTAGAAGATCAGAAATGTTGATCTTAATTATTACCATAATATACTGTCATGTGCACAAATAAATACACATGTAGATCAGCATGTATTAGGAAACCTTGCCTTACAAGGTCAGTCAAATAATTTTATTAGTCGCGCGCAACCCTACTGGCGTATGGCCATTACGTCCTGCGTTAGATGTTTGGTGCTGGTCTCCAGGTAGTTCTTGAGCACGCGTTCAAGACCTGATTCCTGCATGCCAGTGTCCTAGGTTGTGTTGCGTATACCTACTGACATATGGCCATTACGTCCTGTGTCAGATGTTTGGAATCAGTCTCCAGGGAAGTACTTGAGCGTACGCACTCAAGGCCTGATCCCTGCATGCTGTGTTCCAGTATACCGTTGACTGTGTTATTTGTCTGTTTGTTGCCTTCCCATGATTTAGAAACTCACAAGTATCCTCTCTCCATTATTAAGATGTTTAGATCTACCGTGACAAAATATCTCAATGATACGGAATACAGTCATTGGTCAATTATTTCTATCTTGGAGTACACAAAATTGAATGGCAAATTATATGTAGATTCCATCAACGACCTTAAGGCTGATATATATGCATCGTATAAAGAAAAATGTGAAATCACATTAATGTTACAAACAAATTGAACAAGATGCTATCTGATTTCGATAAATCATTCTTTACGGCTGAAGTGAAAGAATTTATTGATAAACTTCGAGAGGATCAAGAAGAACGTGGGTTTGATACAGCTTTTCAGATCAATGTCGCACCTGTCTGCACAATTAAAGCTTTGAAGGTAAGCTTTGAAACAGTCTTGGGAACAAATTTCACAATAACCAACAAACAATTCTATCAGAGCTACCGCACGAATCAAGTACTTATCAGTGAATTAAAAGATGAAAACAAGGTTGATATAATTGTAATTATAATCAAATTTATTTACAGATATGGAAGGAATTTATTAATCATGACTATGTTATCTTTTATGACAAATCTTAGGAAGGAGAACCATATTCTGGAATGGTACTTAGAAAAAGAAAAAACCGAGTAAATTATGCTGAAAGTTTATCAGAAGTAGAGACAGACTTAGATTACGAAGAAGAATCAAAGGAAGTGAGTAATACCAATGTATTTTAGTTATATTATAATTTAGTGATTGACTTTTTTTTTACAATTTTTTTATTTAGGCAAAAAAACGACTCATAGTTAATACCCATTCTGCGGATGATAAAATAAATGAAATTGAATATGAACAAATCGACTCTGCAGAATTCTTACATTGTGATTTCAACGAAACATACAATACTAAACAAGAACTATAGAACTAGGTAATATCATTTTATATTATATATTGAATTATATATATGTATTAACCTTTTCTTTATAATATGGAATTAGTATATTTGAAACAGAAGTCATCTTCCGATTCATCTGAAAAACCAACAAAAAATATTGTAGTTAATCCGGAAAATCAAACAGAATCAAACAGTGATTCAACCAATACAATATTAGAAAATAAAGGTGAAAAAAATTTTGAGCAACTTGAGACGCATACTATTATTGTACCTGCGATCAGTATTTCCAATAAAGTACAATCATGTTGGCCATCCCATGAAACATCATTTCAAAAAATTACGGAAGAAAGAAAATGGCACTTATCTTCAGGAAGAAAAGTTGAAGACATACTTTATGCACACACATTAAAATTGGAATATGAGCAACCGGCTCATTCTTTTATTATTGATACATCAGATGATAACATAAAGAATTTATTTACGAAAGAAGAATGGAACGAAATTATGAACAGTAATAAAAAAACTGTTCCAGGTATTGATAAGAATCTGGCACGACATTTGCTTAATTATAAAAAAAAAACACTTTCAGAAATGCGAGCGCATGTTATGAAACCTTGGTTAGAGACAATGTATAAGCAAGAACAACATTTTGATTACCAATATATACACTAGGTGTTTACTTATTTGCTGGATGAATATGAGTCACCAAAGAATCGATTAACGCAATCACATGCAGAGGGATGGTATGCAATCAATATTTGGAGCATATTGATTGACAAGGCATTCTTAAATATTCCTAGTATAGAACTTGTTCGTGGTGATACATGTAGTATTGCATCGAGTAACCGAAAGAATGATAACGAAATACATGTATATAGAATAAAAGGTCAGGGAAAAGCACTTGGACGTCGAATTGATGATATTTTTCAAAATACTGTTAATGATTATGAATACGGGGGAATTGAAGTTGCAAAAACATGTCAAGGTTCTCATGATAGAAAAAATTTAGGCGATTCTTTGAAACTTACGAAACTTTTGAAAGACAACAATCAAATATTGTCAACCATAATGAAACTATAGTCAAAAAAATTGAAATCGTTGGCTTGTTACATTCACGTCTTCAGTTACAACAACTTCTAATGGATTATGGAGGTGGTTCGTGTTTGCGCCTTAGAAAAGAAGCTACAAGAAATATTCCTTTGCATCTTGATGATGTAATGGAGCTTATTATTCTTATTACAAATATTCTTAAAGCAAAGTTACGGATCAAACGTTGCATTGAAGCATTAAAAAATGAGCCTGAGGATGAATCTTTTTTACAAGAAATTACACAACCTCTCTCGTGTCCTTCTACTCCACCTGGAATTATACAACTTGCTAAACCCATAATTACACCAGAAAAGAAAAAAATACCAACAGTCAGGAATGGTGTAATAAGAGATGAAGAAATATCGGTAAATATCTTTTAATATTTTATAATATTAATCTATACAAATATTAACAACAGACATTTCATTAAATTTAATACGCACCCAACAAGAATTGAAAACCGAGAATCCAATATCCAATAAATCATAGTATAATCGTGAATCGGATGTAAAAAACTACAGGTTAGATAAATTAGCATAAATTGGGTATGTTTGTTATTATTATGGGTTGTATCCTGAAATTTTATAACATAATTACGTTCTCCCAATATAGTCTCCTCCCAAAAGTTTTTAAATCACCTTATAAATAAAATCAATGTTTCATAATTTCGATATAAATAGATTTTTATTCTTAAAAAAATTTTGGGACTACAAGAACTCTTACTATGTAAAAATTATTTCTAACCAGTTGGCGATATGTGGACAATTTTTTTACACTACTTTTCTTAACCTAATTTCTTAAGAATTTTCTCAGAAAATACACAAACAATGAACATATGCTTGTGAAAGTTTACCCTAATATAGTCAGTCCACTTTTTTTGAGAATATTTTGTGATTTATAATGTCACCAAATTAAAGAATTCAATTAATAAAATATTCAAATAGTGAAAATATACATGCAGTACAAAAGCTTAGTGTTCTGAATGAGTCAGTTTTGGTTTAACCTTATGTGACTCATTTGATATGATATGATAGTAATTCAGGTTGAAGATCATCGGTTTATACTTGATAGGTTATTAGAACATTTTTATTTTATAAGTAATTTTTATAGCGATTAAGCTCTAGATTTTGAGACAATTTTGGTCTTACTGGTTTTGAATATTTGTTAACTTTTTTTCAATCAATTTTTTCGGAAACATTTTTTTACTAGGAATCACGAGTTCCAATTTTTTTATTAGCCGCATTAATGATAATCAAACAACACGATGAGTTTATTATTTAAGGTTTTAAATTTATTTAATAATTGTAAGAGTATAATTATCTTTATCTTTCTCTTTTTATATTGGTATTAACTTGTACATCGCTAACTCTAATCTTGTCCCACAAGCAAATCATTCAGAATTACCGCGTCGAGATCATGAGCCTTCTGGTGAGTTAAAATCATTATGGGGAAAATCAACTCGAAAGATTTTAGTACCAGAGACAAAGGGACACCATAAGAGATTTACAAGCAAAAATGAAAAAAGCACTGGAGGTTACAGAGGAAGAGGAGAAAAAGAGACAAAGAAAAGAGATGAGATTTGTCTTATATTACCTTTTTTTCTTTCGAATTTTTTTTGCTTGATATTTTTATTAAATGCAATTGTTTCTTTAGTACATTATAAAAGTCTATTGATATTCCAATGTATTAGTGACTACCGAACATTTTGATGGGTTATCCTACAGACCACGGACAAAAAGCGACTCGAAGAGACATACGAATTCACCTTAGCATTCGTTCATCAAAACCTCGATAATCAAGCACAAGGTATAATTTGAAGTGATGCAGAGAACATTCTGCAAATTTTTTAAAATTATTTACTCAAGGACTAAAGAGATATTGAAACGGTTATTGGTACCATTGTACCAGATAGATTTGCGCAGCTAGTGAATTCGAGGAAAAAAATAAAGGGTTATCGTTCTGGGGATGCCACGGGTGACGGTGAATTCAGGAGAGATTGATGATGAATTTGGAGTTGCCGTAGTATTAAAGAGGAAGTTGATAAATTTGGAGAATACGGAGTTGAGTCCAAAAAGGAAGATGACGATGAAGGTGGTGTGGAAACATTGATAGCAGGTGTATTAGGCGTTGGTCAAGTTGAGGATGATAAATATAGAGTTTATTCAGATGAAGAAAACGGAGGATTTGAACTGTTATTGGTTCAGATACTACTAGTCGAAGGTCACTGGTATATAGTCTTTACAAAAATATCTCCGCATGATATTGATACTTTCGGCTTAAGCGTCTATTATCAAATAACTATTCAGATCCGGCACTGGGCAAGAAAAGGCGACGATATCATGCAAATACTTGAATCAGACAGAAATACTCGTGACTACGAAAGTTAATTAAGGAATCTTTTGATAATGACAGATTCAATCCGGTCAATGTATATTGACAAGAAATAGGGATGGTGTACAAAACTTGCCAAAGCTGGAACAGGAAACGCTAAGCAACAATGTAGTGAACGCGAAATTTGCGAGCAAGGATTAGAAGAATTTGCCGTGATGAAAATGCCGCCCAGAAAGGTGTGATTGGAAATATAGATGATAAACCTGTGCCAGCATATAGTCTAATTTCTGCTACTGTCAATACTATTTTGCTTCCAGTAGCAACGGCAATACCTAAAGCTATAATTGATCCCGAATCGCTAATGTTTACATTTAATTTCTAACAAAAAGTGCAAGCTACTAATAGATCTCATAAGATTTCTAAAATGTTGAAGAGATAGTATTGGTTTTGCTGAGAGTGCAGGCGAATATACCTGTTGTTATTTTGGGGAGGCCGGATAAAGAAAGAAAGTAATGATCATGCATTATTTGTTTAAGAAAATATTATCAACTCAATTCTGATTTTGACAAGTCTGACCGGATTTCTAGCCCGTGTGGTAGATGTTCAATTTATTTTCCCTCAACTTTCATGCGGGTATCAAGGAATGATATTTTGCAATTCATAACATAAGTCTAGAAAAATGCTTAGAGGAAGAAACCTGGATATTGACGAAAGAAATACATGTAATAGCATTGATCTTCTAGTGGACCTATAGTTCATCGAATATATCATGAGATACCGATTCATAATAGTATCTGAATATTTGCCACATGCTCCTTACCATTTGCGAACGAGAATTGTCAGTGTTATCGGTCTAGAAGCTAAAAATTTGGAGAAAAGTAACCTTGTTTGTATATGAAGTAAGACTATCCCCGATCAAATCCTTGATTTGCTTGGGATTATGGTGTGCTTAACAGGAATATTCAGATAATGGTAAAACACAATTGAAGGAGTTGGATGATTTGGTTCTCCGAAAATTATTATTTTCCTCGCAACAATTTATTCAAGAAGTAGAGCGTAATGTCAAACATGCTATTATTAAACTTATCAAGTTCTTTTACGAGTTTGAAAGATCGTCCGCTGATTCGTAAGAGTTTGTCAAAATACCTTCCTATAGCTGAAGAGTTGTCTAACATACAAGTTCGTTCATTTATATTAGAATTAGGTCTTTGTTATTAGCCAAGATTGTATGAAAAGTTATTGCGTTTGAAATATCGTAAATAATGGTTAACTGTTTAGAATTGAAATACTGTATATGTTTATACTGTATTTTGCTCTTTATTTACTATAAAATTTTATACATGTTAATAATCATTATAATTTAATAATAAATTTTAATATATAATAAAGTTTAGCTTCAGATTTAACGGTTATTCAAAAGTGTCATCGACCTCGAAGCTTCATTATTGCATAAATCTAAAAAGTAAAAAATCATACATTCGATACCTTGCTTTTTTCCATAATAAAAATTATTTTTAATAAAACCAAAAAAAAAAAAAATTTTTTTACTTATCGAGCGTTTTTTATTTTTTAACTGAAAATATTGAATGAGTCAAACGGGTCAAATGAGTCGAACACGATTTTGATCTGAACTGACCCAAAATCATTACGTAAGCAAATGATCTGACCCGAATGTAAATTTTGGTTGAGTTTTTGAGTCGACTCGACTCATTCAGAACACCACAAAAGCTTACCACTTTTTTTAAGTATACAAACCTGTAAAGTCAGTGATAGATAATTTAATTGATCCAATTTTTCTTAAGAATTATATCAACAAATATATCAATAACGAAAATATTCTTTCCTCTATGAAGTCGATGATCAATAATACAGCAAATTTAATTGAGAATGTCTTACAGTTTACAGTATAGTATAATGTTGATAATTTAAGAACTTGATCTATAAAGTTGATGATTGGTAGTATAGTTAATCCACTTTTTTTGAATATATAAACCTACATTAATCTAACTTTTCTTAAAATTTTTCTCAACAAATATACAGTAGCTACTTATTATTATTTATAAAATATTTTTTAATAATTTAAATCTTTATATATTAATTTTAACAAAAAAAAATTTTTTAAAAGTTTCAAAAAATTAACAATTAATCTATAAAATATTTAAATAAAAAAATTTTTTACTAATAAAAAAATTATAAAAATATATATATATAATTTTATTAGTTACTATCTAATAAATTTAATTATTAAAATAATTTAATAATCTATAATTGTTTTTTTTAAAGTCAATATTAAACAGTTAATCATTTTTAATTAGTTTTTTGTTTTTTAATTTTTTTTTTTAATATTAAGTAAGGCATTTCTTATGATCTTTATTAATATAGTAAAATGAATTGTTACATGATAAACATTAAGATGTAAGATACATTGCTATACATGTCAGCCTATTACCCGATTAGTTATATCTCTAGAAAAAAATCCTTGTGTAAAAAAAAGAAGAGGAACTATCTAATCTTGGAGGGCTATTGCCTCCCTAATAATTTATTCTATCCTGTAGGGGCATGGATAGAGTCTTGGAGAAAAGTTTAAGTGTGATATCAATTAGTTTGTGTTTGTAACAATACAAATGGTGAAAGGAGTGACATAATATATGTCACACAAGTGGCACAGACAAGCCAATAGAGGGAGCATTGCAATTGGAATACAACTATTCAAACTGTAT